ATAATAATTTCTTATGAGTCGTCCCCGATCAATTTCTCTCGAAGAGGATTCATTTATTTTATTCAAGAAATAAAATCAATCTATATATATATATATATATATATATATATATATAGTCCATAATGATGATGATGATGATGATGATGATGATGATGATAATGATGATAATAATGATGATGATAATGATGATGATGTTGATGTTGATATTGATGTTGATGTTGATGTTGTAGTAGAGGAAAGAAAGGTAACTAGAAATAAGTTACTAATGAAGATGAAAAATAAGAAGAGAAAGAAACATGTGTGAACATTATTTTCTATATAAAACACATTGTATATAGTTGATGAACTGTCGATATAATATGCGATCAAAATGATTAAGCAATGTGATGATTATACGTATGCATGCCTAAATGAATGCCCAATTTGAGATAAGTATAACTTATCTTAAAAAAAATGTTAGAATATATTAGATGATGAAATGACACGTCATCGTGGACGCTTCTAAACGAAATATTTCGAGGCGTCACATTATTTGTGTGTAGAATGAGAAGAAAGAGATAGTTTTACTCAGGAAACAACAACAACAACAACAAAATAAATCTTTTAGGCGCGTAAAATATAAAAAGTGCCAAATTTGAGATCGCTCAAAGAAAAAAGAATAAAAAAATACAGAATACAAGGATCATTGAAGATTGTAATGATATAAAAGATAGAAGTTTTGAGAAAAACGTTTATCAAACGTTCATTCCAAATGCAAAATTGAAACAAAAAAAGAATACAAAAAAAGAAAGAAAGAAAGGAAGACAGACAGAAAGAAAGAAAGAATGAAAGAAAGAAAGAAAGAAAGAAAAGACAACGGGCTTCAAATTATTTAACAAACAAATCATATTTTGAAAACAAGTTCTTTGCTTCCTTCATTAGAAAACTTTAAAAAAATCATTAATTTCCTATTGAATTAACACTAACTCCTTGGAGTGACATAGTCGAGCTTGAAAATGTCTGAAAATATAATTAATACAGTATCTTCTCAGGAGAAACTCAATGTTATATATTTACATATAATATATATATATATATATATATCCTCATACACATATGTATGTGGTGTAGTGATATAATAATTAATAACGAGATACATTTTACGTTTTAATATCCCACAGCCTACAGAGTTCTATACTTACTTAACTACACATAATCTTTAAATATTATCTCTGTCTCTAAATCTTGAAAAATATAACACTTACATTTTATGATATTTAATAGTACTTAATCTCACGAGCATCTATCTATATATATTATATATATATATAACAATCGAATTGGAAAACAATTTTATAGAATTGTTTTATAAATCGATATGTATATATATGTATATCAAATATAAATATTAAAGTAAAATTTTCTCAAGATAAAATATTAATCTTTAGAAGGAAAAAAAAGTATTAATTAATTTTTTTTCGAAGCAATCTAAGTGGTGCTCTAAAAAAAATAAAAAAAGTAAAAAAGAATAGCAAAAGAAAAAGAAATGTATTTTAAAAGAAAGGTACCTGAATAATTAATACATTGCATCCTGAGAAGAATAATAAGCGCGTTGTACGTTACTATTGCGTTATAAGATATAGCTATTTTCGATACTAAAAGCTCAAAAACAATGTAAAAGTTTATATTTTTCGAACAGATTAAAAGATTTTTCGTTTAACTAAACAAAATATTTTCGCATACATTTAAATTTATATTATACATTTCTCTTTTTTATTTTGAAAATAATTGAATTGATATAAACAAAAAATTGATTATTCATTAATATTTTCATCATGTAAATTATAACAATAACGTTAACGAGTTGCTTAAATGAAATAATTCCATTAATAATCCTTTCGTATACTATTATTATTACTATAATATATATATATATCTATTATTTTTCTTTTCTTGCGAATTTATTCATTAAGAATTAAATATCGAGATAAGAATATATATATATATATATTCAATTATTATTTTCTTTTAATTTTTAATTTTTATTCAAAAAGTTCCATGCGTTTTAATGTTTTACTATTAAGTGTGTAATGCAAATAAGTAAAAAAAGAAATTGAAGAGAGAGAAGAAGAAGAAGAAGAAGATTTTATCATTACTTTTTTTAGAATATTAGAATTATATATAGAGTATAGAAAATATTTACATTTTAAACCGTATTAAAATATGACTCTGTATATTACGACATATTGCAATTTTGCAATAAAGAGTGCATTTGCAGAGTGAAAGAGAGAGAGAGAGAGAGAGAGAGAGAGAGAGAGAGAGAGAAAGAAAGAGAGAAAGAAAGTGAGCGTAAGAAAGAAAAATATATATTTTAATTCGTCAAAATATTTTATTAATCATTATATGTATCAACATTGTTAACAAAATATTTACTTTTTCTGCTTCTGAATATAAGTACATACAAATACATCCCAGACACACACACACACACAAACAAGTACTTACATGCAAATGCGTTCCAACGTATCTCTTAAATCATTTTATTATATAGTTATTATTATCTCTTCTAACAATAAGTAGAATAAAAAAAAAAAAAAATTACGAACAACAAACAAAAGTAAGGTAGATACTTATATACTTGTGATAGAAACTGAGAGAAAAATAATTAAAAAATATAAAATAAAAGAAAAAAAAAGTATATATGTATAGATATATACATATATATATATATAATAACAAAGTAAAGAAACTCTCGCGATACTTAAAAGCATGTTCTTATTAGAAATATACAATTTGTAAAACATACAAATTACAAAAAATACACAGGAAACACACAAAATCGTCAGTAGAAAATGACACATCGTGTATTATTGTAGTATTTGGCACACGTTATTGTATTCACACCACTGATATTACCTATATTGAGAGAAGATTGTTAAAAAAAAAAGAATGAAGAAAAAAAAAAAGAACCGATCATTAATTGTTACGAAGTGAGATGATAGAGAAAGAGAAATAATAAAAAGAAAACAAAACTGTAAATAATTTAATTATAGTACAGTATTAAGAAGTAATAATTAGTAATATAGGCTCTTAGTAGCTAATTTACGCCTTAAGAAATAGAGAATGAGAACCGAATAAAACATATTTTAATTGCTTTCCGTTTTAAATTCTTATTTACTTAAATATTTCATCTTTGTTTATTTTTTTTCGATGTCAATTGTGACCTTTAGTCGTATACAAAATATAAGTGACATTACTCTCCTGTATCTCTTTCACACAAAATATATATATTTACTTTAATTATTCCACGAGTATGGATTAAATATGAAATTGAATTGTTAATGTATAAATGGCATCGCCACGATTAATTTCTAAACTTCGAACTTTATCTCCAATATCAAGTTCAAGGTAATACAAACGTTTCATTCATTTAAATAAAATATTTTATTAGAAAACCTGTCTTGTGTTGTTCCTTTCAATGAAATATCATCATTTGTAGGAATTCATTGAGTCCTAGAAGTCTTATAACAAATAATAATTATGTTAAATCACCAGAAAACAAAAATAAGTTATCACCTTTTAACGTTAATACACCTGATAGAAAAGAAATTCTTAAAAATGGTCTTCCTAATAAACAACGAACTGTATTAGGTACTGGTGGCTTTGGTACGGTGTACAAAGCGGTGTACAAAGGTAATTTTAATTAATTTATCAAACAAAAATTATACTATTATAGGATTTAATTGATCGCTCTAACTTTTATAATATAGGAACTCAAGTGGCAGCTAAAATATTGGAGAAATCAAAGAATAGAAATAATACTATCGATTCAGAGAAACACGCTTGCTTATTGAGGCATGCCAATATCGTCAATATTTTAAGCATAGAGGAAGGAGCTGCTTTATCATTAATAACAATGGAATTATGTGGTATCACGTTGCAAGATCAATTGGAAGAAAAAGAATTAGATAAAAGAGAACGTATTCGTATTTGGAGGGGTATAGCTTGCGCGCTTCAATTCTGTCATAAAATGGGTGTTGTTCATGCCGATGTGAAGCCAAAAAATATTTTAATCGGTAATTGTGGTCAGCCTAAACTTACAGACTTTGGAAGTTCTGTGTTAATAAACGAAGTACACGAAGAACAGATATCTTATGTAGGTAAAAGTTTGTACGAATAATTATTCTAGTTTAATAGAAAAATATTTTATTGTCTTTTTGTTTTTTTAAAGATAATGACAAGTACGCCAGGTTACGCAGCACCAGAGGTGTTATGCGGTATGATTCCTAGTCCTGCCGCAGATATTTATTCATTAGGCATATTAGCTTGGCAAATACTTTCTAGAAAAATACCATTCGTGGGATTGCACGTGCATACTATTATCTATTTATCTATAAAAGGAAAAAGACCTTCCGATGAAGATCTCAATGATGAATTTGAAGGACGATATAAATCATTGTATAGAGAAATGTGGTCTCCACAAATGAAAGCTCGACCAGTAGCAAGTGAAGTCATCGATATGCTTGATATCCTAATGGATAAGTAGATTTTATTTAAAATTAAATAATATTCTATACTTGCGAGTATACCTGTAACTTATTTTTATACATTATTAAATAAATGTGTTTACAGATAATATATATATATATAAATAGAAAATGTATAAAAACAAAAAAAAAAAGAATTGTAATTTTATGTGTCTGGCATTTCTCCGCCGGGTACAAGCTGTAACAAAATAATTAATCATTAAATTATATATTTATATACGCAAAAGTAATGATCTTTTTTTTATATTATATATACTAACCATAGTAATGTTGCTACCATTTAAAAGAATTTGATCTAATTTTGTAACTCTTCTACCTTCCGGAGTTGCTTCACTCTCCGTCACATCCTCCAATAACATATTTACAAAATCATCAAATCCTAATAAAGTACCAACGATTTCTTTATCATTTTTCATTATAATATGTATTCTCGATCCAATACATTTGTCAACTAATTCTGTGAATATTATACAAATTAATTTTCAACAAAATATAAAACTAATGATGCATATAACCACAAAATTACTATATTGAAAATATTATCATTTCACTTACCTAATGGTAATAAAGTTGAAGGATTTGTACTAACTGAACTAGTCATTATTTACAATAATTTAATCTTTATAAAACAATTAAATCTTTCTCTCAAGGTAAAAAAATATATTTATTAAATTTTAGAATATATTTACGTGCTGCAATAGCGCGCTTTTAATGTACAATTCAGTGTTACCAAATTCGTGGAAAAAAATTCAATTAGTAATCTTTGTCCTATAGAAAACTACATTATCGACGTTATTTCATTTACGCGGGTTCTCGCAGATTACGAATATTTCTTAAGAATATCGCTAAGATTGAAAGAATTTTTTGGTAAATATCATAATCTGTTGAAAATTAAATATGAAAAATAAAATATTGCATTAATACAGACACTTATATTACATTATATTGACATTTTTATTCAAGATTTCATTAAAAAGGAGCAAACAAAAATAGCGCGAAAATGAAGAACCAATGATAATCGAATATTTCGTATCTCGTAGATGGCGTCAGTGTCGTTGACAAAACGAAGGCGGTCCTTTGGTCAATGACAGAAAATCACACGTTACAGTGGAGCTAAGACCGTCGGTTTAGTATGTGTTGTCATGAACATAGTGAATGTTGAATTATCTTAAATATTATCATATTAAAAAAGGCAATTTTGAAATGTGATAAAAACGTGCTCGTATGTGCATATATTCAATTTAATTAAATCGTGTTTATTCATTTGAAAATTGGAGACTCATGACGAAAATGACGATGGCAACACGTTCGAGTGATTACGACCTTCAACTCTCTTTTTAGAATTTCGAAATGCGATCATCTCGTTGTCTGAATATTACAAATTCTACATTTCGAAGATCAATGGATATATTCGAAATGTTTTTGGAGTGGTCATCGTCAATGACCTAACCTATCGCATCGAAGATAAGGCATGTCCTAATACGATCAGCAGATTCTCTAATTATATGTATATATATATATATATATTTATATACATATATATATTTATAACTATATTATGTAAATACATTGAAAATTAGTGACGAATAGATTTGTTTTCTATAAACATTACGGTAATAAAAAAAAAACAATAATCTATCGATTTCTGTCAATTTAGTTGAAATTGATGAGAAATTCTCAGGTGTCGATCTCGCGTCACCGTAAGGACTCGGAAATTAATTTCGATTTGATTTCGAAATTAAAAAAGATGTCTCGACAAAAAGACGATTCCAATCATTAAATCTCATAAAAGAGATCGTTTATTGTCTCGTAAATAAAAGAATTAGTATATCATATATATATATATATACATATACATATACATATACATCATACCATCCTTTTTTATAAGACTGCGAAAGGTGTATATATATATATATATATAATCTGTTTCGTGTCACCGTTAAATACTCGTCACTGATAAACAATAATTTATTTACAAAACAAAAAAAATAGAAAAGAAAAGAAAAAAGTTTTCACGACGACAGTAGCGTATCCTTTTAAACGGTGTTTCGAACTAGGACACGCGCGCGCACACACCGGAGGGATACAAACTAACTCAGGAAAGGTATTACATAGGTGTGCTTGCTGCTGCTGCTGTTGCTGCTGGGAGTTTGGATAAGAAGATGGCGGAAATTCGGTCGTCATCCTTCTCGTTGTTCTTCTACGATTCATTAATAAAAATTGTCATGAATTTTATATGAATAAATAACTCTTACGAGAGAGATATACAAGAAGTAACATCATCATACACGAGAGATGTGTCAAGTGAGAGTGTATGATAATAATAAAACGTGTCTTCTTGTGTAGTAGTATATTATATTTGTGAGAACTAACTTGGAATATAATCAAATTCCAATCTCGTCGTGACCCAGAGAAAAGAAATACACGGCAAGAAAAATAAAAGAAACGAGAAAGATAGAGAAAGAGAGAAATAAAAATAAAAGAATTGAAGAAAGGTGTACACGATCGTCGCCTACGTGATTTTCTTGAAATGAGGAAGATCTCCTAATGCTTCTCTCGTCGAAAAGGTAACGGACATTTCGTGCCCGTTACCTGTTACCACTCACTGGTCTACCAAAGAAGAACAGAAAGAAAGAAATAAAACGAAAAAAAGAGAAACAGAGAGAGAGAGGAAGAAAAAAGAAACAAATTGTCAGAATATTTTTTTATACATGAGTAAACCATACGATAAAGTTTATCTTTTCTCAATCTAAAGTAATTAATTGTATTAGTATTTTAGAAAACAAACAAAACAAAACAAAATTGTCTAAGGGAGAAGTATAATATTTGAAATCACCAGGTATATGTATATCTGGAAATTATTGTTGATCATTTCTCTCTCTCTCTCTCTCTTTCATATTTTCTCTAATTTTGTTTTAAAACAATAAATAACATATTAAATCAATTACATATATATATATTTTTGGAGAGAGAGAAAAAAAAGTATAAGTTATTAAATTATTGTAAAATAGGAAGCACACGTGTTCAGAAACGTCCGGATGGGAGCACCGTCGAGTAGAGGATATAGTAATTACCCAAGAACGTCGACGAATCGGCGTGCCAGAGGTGGTGGAGGAGGAGGAGGAGGAGGAGGAGGAAGAGGAGGAAGAGGAGGAGGGGAAGGGGAACAGGAGGGAAAACAAGAACAACAAGAAGAAGAAGAAATAGTCGTCGTCGGCGTCGTTGAAAAAGAAGAAGAAGAAGAAGAACGTGGTTGGACTTGTAGTATTGGTGTTGTTAGTAATTTTAGGAGTAGTGAAGGTGAAGTAAGTGAAGAAAAAGGAGACAGAAGAAGAAGCAATATACCGGAAGTGGAAGAAAAAAAAATAAGAAGAAGAATAGTAGGAGTACCATGGCGAAAACAAGTACCGGTGTTCCTTACGGTGTTGTCCCAGAGATGAGACATTCCAAGAGTGAGGATCTTCTTGGTGTTATTCCAAATTCAAGATCAACTAGTCCAACTATTGGATTACCCAGTACTGCTTCAGAAGATGATTTGATTGCTGCCAGTGCATTGCACGAGGCTAATGATCGTGATCGTGATCGTGATCGGCATCATCGTCATCGGGTTGCTGCCGCCATTGCTGATAACAGAAGGTTAACAACAACAACCACTTCATCTTCGTCACCATCATCATCTATGACTACACCTAACTTAACACCAACTACCACTCTGTTTGCTTCTAAGTTTGTTACTACACCTGCCGGACTTCTTACCGATCGTATCGATCCTGAAGACTCCATTCGTGATATCGTCACAGAGAATGATCTCTATAGGTATGTATATATAACTTTTTTCTTTCTTTCTTTAATTTATATATGTTTATGTGTGTGATGATCGTGTATTAGTTGTCATATTGTGTGTTGTGTATAAATGATATAGGATAAAATAAGACGAAAGGATGACGTGATCTGTTTTGTCATTCTGATGTTATTTCTCAATCGATAAATGCAAGATCGTTTTCTATATTGGATGAGAATCTAATTCTATGTGTTAATTTGTTTTACACGCGAGATTTAACTTAATCGATTCTTTTTCTATATAATATATTTTTTCTATATTATATATATATATAATAT